TTGTACAGTGCATTAGTTGACTTTGTTTAAAGAGTTACTTGTATGAATCACTTCCCTCTTGATTTCCCAGATTACATTATCTCTGAAGCATGTTGTCTTAATTTTTCCAGTTTCTTTGGTGCTCTGAGTCTTTAAAGAACTGAAGTTTTCTTTTTAAACCAAAGTGAGGAAGAAGATCCATTGAAGCCTTCTTTATGTATTATAAAGATGCAAAATGTGGTACAAATCCAAAGACTTTGTTTTCCTATACGTGTCGTCTTTATATACAGGCAGTCCCCGGGTTACGTACAAGATAGGGACTGTAGGTTTGTTCTTAAGTTGAATTTGTATGTAAGTCGGAACTGGTACATATTGTAGGGGAAACTCTAGCCAAACATTTCTTCAGAGCTCAGTTTTATTCTCCCACACCTCACTTCCCTCAGTTCTTTATTCTCAAGCTGAGGTGTCTGCTGAGAAAAGCCGCTGTGCGTCTCCCTGGTCTGCTCGGGTGGGGCGTTAGCTTCGCGTCTCCCTAGTCTGCTGGGGGGAAGCAGCTAGTGCGGGGTTGCCTCACCCCGTTTGTAAGTAGGGATCCGATGTAAGTCGGACCCATGTAACCCGGGGACTGCCTGTATGTCTTTGTAAAGATGGCTGAACCCATTTCTTGTAGATTCACATCTGTTGGAGGCATTTTCTTTGGCACATGATAGAGATGAGCAGTTTATAGAGTCTGATGAGTTTTTTGACAAGCTGCTCTATTAACTTCTTTTGTTTTATTTTCAGAGATACAGAACAAAGCCATACTGCTGTAGCCTATGCAAGTTTTCCTCAAAATTTCTTACTTCATTCAAGAATCACTTGCATCGTTACCATGAAGATGAAATGGACCAAGAGATGGTGGTTCCTTGCCCAAAATGTGTATTTGCTTCTGATTCAAAAGTAGTGGGAAAACATATCCGAATGTTTCACTCCAATAGGAAACTACAGAACTGCACAGTGAGCATTTTAGGTGGCATGAAACAATTCAGGAGTGACATTATAAACTTCACATGTCTAAAATGCCACTTTACAGACACACTGTACTACAATATGAAGAAACATGTGCTGATGAACCATTTTCAGAATTTAATAAGTATGTATTTTGGCCAGAGACCAGATGACATTGAAGAGCATTTTATTGAGCACTACTGTAAAAAATGCAATGCTATAGCGAACAGCCAAGACACTTTAATGTATCATGTCCTAACATCTGATGCACACAGAGATCTGGAGAATAAACTTAGATCTTTGATTTCAGAACATCTTAAGAAACCAGGACTTGTGAAGCAAATGCATATTGCTCCCAAGCCTCCCACAAGTACAGCTGCTCCATCGTTAATTCCCACCACTGCTCCATCAAGCACAGTTACTACTCCAACTTGCATTCAACTTGCATTTCCTCAGAATAATCAAAACCAAACCATGGTACAGGGAAAAGCAGTTCAAAACACAGTAAGACCACTGGCTGCTTCAAATGCCTCTAGTAGCCTTACACATACATCTGCTGCTCCGGTTGTTACTCCACCACATGTTACTCTTGTATCCAGTCCACTTCCAGTAGCTCAGAATGTCAGTCTTCAGCCACCAGTTCCACAACCTGTCTTTGTTTCTCATAGGGTCCCTCTTAATCAGCCAGTCAGGCCTGGGGTTCTCCCCCTTGCTCAGCCTGTTGGGACCATAAGTAGACCTGTTGCTCCTGGAGTTCTTCCACTTAATCAACCTGTCAGGCCTGGTCTTCTTCCTGTTAATCAGCCTATTGGGACCATAAATAGTCTGGTTGCCCCAGGAGCTCTCCCAGTAGCTCAGCCTGTTGGTTCTGTAAATAGACATGTTGGACCTGGTGTTCATCCAGCAACTAGACCTCTTGCACCTGGTGTTGTCCCTCTAAATCATCCTATGGGGAATATAAATCAATCCATTGGTCCTGGGGTTCTTCCTGTGCCTCAGGCTGTTACCTCAGGGGTTCTACAGTTTAATCAGCCTGTTACTTCTGGGGTTCTCCCTGTAAATCAGCCAGTCAGACCTGGAGTTTCTCAAAATACCGCTTTCCTGACTACCGGACCTATACTTAGACAATTAATTCCAACTGGTAAGCAGGTTAATGGAATACCTACATATACCCTTGCACCAGTTTCAGTAACGTTGCCCGTATCACCTGGTGGTGGAGTAGCAACTGTTACACCACCGCAAATGCCCATTCAGCTAATGCCATCTGGCACAGTAACTCAGGTATCTCACTCTCCAGCTAGTGCACCGTCTCCTCCTATAGTTGTGACTTCTTCTCACAGTATGTCTGCACAGGCTTCTCCGCCTGCTCCTGAAACAAGCCAAGCCCTCAAACAGGCTAAGCAATGGAAGACATGCCCTGTTTGCAATGAGCTCTTCCCATCAAATGTCTATCAGGTCCATATGGAAGTGGCCCATAAGCACAATGCAGTAAAAACAGAGGAAACCCTTGAACCTGACAAGCTTGCAGTATGTGCACCCTTTTTGAGGTGGATGAGAGAGAAGACTGTCCGGTGTCTCTCTTGTAAATGTTTCCTATCTGAGGAAGAACTTATAAAACACCTGTTGATGCATGGGTTAGCTTGTTTGTTCTGTACATATATTTTCCATGATCTGAAAAGCCTTGTGGAACACAATAAGACTGTTCATAATGGAAAGAAGAAGTTACATGAAGACTACAGCAACAGAGGATTTCAGCTAGATAATGATGCTGATGGTGACCTTACATTTCCACATTTTGAGTTCAGTACAATGTTACCAAAAGAAGAACTTAGTGAAAAGGAAGTACACTTGGCAGTACTTGCAGGGGTAAACTCAAGGACCCTGGTACCTGTCTACATCAAAGTGAAGCCTCAAACAGCTGAGGTGAACAGTATTTGCAACAACAAAAAAGTATTTACATGCCCCTTTTGTTTTGGTACTTTCATTAATAAAGAAACCTATGAAGTGCATTTGAAAGAGAGACACCATATCATGCCAACTGTACACACAATTTTAAAATCCCCTGCTTTCAAGTGCATCCACTGCTGTGGGGTGTACACTGGAAATATGACTCTGACAGCTATTGCTGTGCATTTACTCCGCTGCAGAAGTGCTCCCAAAGACAGCAATTCAAGTATAAAAATGCCACTTGAGCGCAATGAGAAGAAAGAGCTATCACTTGTTAATGGTGAAAAGCATGATTCTGTGTGTCAGTCTGCTAAAAGAAAACAATCTGATATATGTTCCATTGTAGAGGACCAAAGGAATAAAGAACAGCAGCTTCAGTCCTTGGGTACAGGCACAGCTCTAGCTCCAAATAAAGATGTGAATTTAGGGGTAGTGCCTGTTAAGAGACAAAAGGTTGAAAGCAGGACTGAGATGAAAGGACCTCCTTCAGCTGAGGACCTCCGTATACTAGCATTAGATCCTAAACAGTATGAACACAGTTCATATGAAACTCGAAAGCAGTTTCTGGCAGATTACTTTCACAAGAGGCCGTATCCTACAAAAAAGGAGATGGAATTACTATCGTCAGTGCTATGTATGTGGAAATTGGATGTTGCATCATTTTTTGGGAAAAAGCGACATGTGTGCCTAAAGGCGATAAAAAATCGCCAGCCATCTGTGCTTCTGGGTTTCAGTATGTCAGAACTTAAAAATGTAAAGCACAGTGTGAATTTAAAATATAAATCGCAGGATGTGTAAAATACTTTGTTTTAAAAGCAATCATAATTGCATACTTCTCAGTTTAGCAGTTTATTACATTGGTTAATTTCTTTTAACTTACAAACTGACCTTTGCAGAGTTATGGTAGTACAAAGTCTCATTCAGATTTGACTGTGTTGTTGAAAAAAGCAGCAGTGATCGTAGATCTGAGGAAGGTAGATCTTTCACATTTTCAGCTCTGTTTAAGCTTTTTTTATTCCCTGCCTTTCTTCCCCCATTTGTGGAGTAGGTTTCCCCCTCCCCTCCATTACACTTTTCTACCATGATGTATTGTTTTTCCTGATTAAAATTTATTTTTTCTCAGCAATGTCAATCTTTTCCTCAAAAGAAAAAGTGCATAATGTTTGTTAAAATATGAAAACAAACTAAATGAGAAAACAGAACTAACTAAAAGTATTAGGAGTTTAAAGAAATTTAAACCAATTTTATTTTGTTCTTTTATCCACTAAAAAAAGATTGTGGTATTTAACTTCTTCTTCCACCCAAAAAAAGCTAGATTTCTAGTAGCAATAATAAAATGTATGCAGCAATTCAAAAATAAAAAGTACAGGTGCTTGTGATGCACAGTAGATAAACATCTGTATCTTTTTGGGAGGAAGGTCTTCTAAAACTACTGAAAGTAAGTGACTTACACTGACTATGACTTTATTCCTTTAAAAATTAACTCTTAATTTAAAGGGTGATTGTTTACTATCACTTTGTAAATATGGGACACTTTCTAGTTGCTAAATTTGTACAGTTGCAAAGCTTGTTGACAGCTTACTGCAAAAGGTGAAGTAGTTTTAAAGAATTATTACATTACTTGGATGCATCTTGACATATTGGAGTCCAAGCATCACTGCAGTCCATGGGAATCTATTGCTGCGGACTTTGACTGTTGGTTAGGGTATTGAATGAACCCATGCCCCTTTTAATAATGAATGAGACATTTAGCTTAAACCACTTTTATAACAATCAGAAAGCAGCTAAACCTAGGACTGGATGGAATTTTTCATATATATGCTGTTGCATCAAAAGGGAATTCCATACATAATGTGTACACAGTGTTGCTAGCTGGTTGATGGTTTATATGAATAAATATTGATCTCGAACTAGTTTCTAATGAAGAAGAGACTACATCACAAAAGTACCTCCAGGACTATCACCTGTGGTAAGTGAGAGTCAAAACGTGTAAGTGGGCTTGGTGATTAAACTACCATTAAAGTAAATTAAGGATATGATTCATGGTCATTTGCATTACCAGTTTGCTGCTATTCCTACTATCTGGGTAAATGGAGGATTTTGGTTTCAATCAGATTGTCAGTTTGGTACCTTCCAAAACTCCCCAAAAGTGCTTCATACTAAACAAAACTAGTCAGAGGCCTTCCAGAACAAATATTACACGTGGTCTGTCCTACCACTGAATTTTGTGCTGATGAGTTTAAACAAAGGAAAGAAGACTTATGCGATTAATTTAAGTAATAAAAAAGTCAGTCTTTTCCTAGTCAACGCATTTTCATCCCATGGGATGTTTTTAAAATGTGCATGTAAATGTAACTTTACATTGAACATTTCAAGCAGCGGCATGACTGACTTCAATATCTATTAAAAAAAAAAGCTGATTTCCCATTTGAGTTCCTACAACTTTTAAAACATCTGTACTTTAGATTAAAAACACGGTATTTTTTGCTATTTGTGAAAAGTGTTCTCTCATACTTATCATTTCAGTGGATTTTTTTTTAAATTGTGAAACACCAAAAGAAAATTTACAATAAGATTGAACCTAGTCGCATAATGAAAACACTGAACAAAAAAAGTAAGTGTTCTACTTTTGAGGATGGTGGCTATGCAGGATAAATCAGCAGGGCCTACATTTTTCTTATTGTGACACTGTGTCCTAAAACAAGCCTGTAATACAGCGGTGGGCAAATAATACCAGCCTATGGGCCAGATCCGGTTAGTCAGGGTTAGCCTTAGGTGGGCTGGCCCCCCCCATATGTACCCTCACATCCACAGGTATGGGCCGTTGCAGCTCCCATTGTCCGTGGATCGTCACTGCTGGCCAATGGAGTCGCAGGAAGCGTATCCTGGTTGATACTGCTTCCTGCAGCTCCCATTATGGATTTCCATTCCCAGCCAGCCAACAAGAGTTGAAATCACCTGTACCTGCAAAGGTGCAGGTAAATATACTGGCAGCAGCCTGCCAGGCACTAACCCTAGCGAAGTATTGCCATTTTATTGCCCACCCTGCTATAATAGCTAGCCTGACATGAGATTTGTCCGAGTTTAGTTTGTGAACTAGTCTGGATAGCACAGGAGGACTTTAAAAATAGTTAATTGTTCTTGAGGGGAAAAAAAATCAATAAGTTCTATAGGCAAGATTTATCCCCAGTGCAAAACTGTGTCAAGGGAGTTACACTAGGAATTTGGCACTATAGATCTACGCGACATTTTAAGCTGAGTGGTTTACGTTCCTGTTTATATGTTTCTAATGTTTCTAAGTAGTGATATTAGCATTGATTCTTGTCATGGTGATGGAGGACACAATCTAGCTTTACTAGAGTTATTGTACGCTGGCCAGTGACAATGTTAAACATTTTTCTTTATTTGGCCTTTAATTTCACAGTTTCAAATAAATCAACTTTTTAACTTTTTTTTTTTTTAAGGTGTGTGCATATGGATGGTTATTTTAAAAACTAAAGTTTGTAATGTTTCATTTAACATGTAGCATGAGAGCGTGACATGAAAAAATAATTTGGATTCAAAAGAGTTATGTCTAAGCAAAGCAGAAATAGACTTAATCCAGTGTGTTCAAACCCATGGCCTGCGCGCTAGCTACAGGCCAGCGCATATTCTCAATGTAACGCAGAGGGGGGCCATACCTCTGCCTGACTCCACCCACCCTCTTCCCTTATTTCACCCCATCCTCTGAGGGATGCGGCTCAGGGATTCTTGGAGGGGCCTGGTTTCCCTGGGGCTCCCACTACTATGAGGAGTCTGGGGGAGGAGGGAGACCGCTGATGCTACCCTACACCAAGCCCCTTCTCCTCCCATGCATTCCTTGGAGGTGAAATGAGGGGAGAGGATGGAGTGGTGGTAAAAAGGGATGCAGCTTGGGGGACAGGGATGGACCACTAGGTCTGCAGGGCTGGATTGTGAATATGCTCCAGCCCATAGGTGGCCCGTGAGCTGTGAGTTTTAGGTGCCTGATCTAGATCTTCAAAGGGGAAGAAGAGAGTGACACCACTGCAAGACAGTTTGTCAAAAGTAAGTTCTACCTCATATAGGAAATTTTATTTGAAGCATATTTAAAATAAAGGATGTGGATTCAAAGTGTTGATCCTGAGAGTTTAGATCCTGCTCCTACTGTTATTAAACTACTAAGCAGCCTAAGATACTTTAAAATGACTGCTGTGACAACTAACCAACATTTTTTTAAAAGGAAGTGAGTAACAGTATAATAGGGTCCGGCTTTTGGGGTAGTTGGGGGGAGCTTGGTTCAGAAAAGCCAAATGAGGGTATATTAAAACAGCAATGCAAATGAGTAAAATGCCAATTTCAGTTTAATTTTTTGCTGTTGTCTCAACAGTGGGAGACCAGCTGCTTAGGAAAGTGCTAGTCTATATTTGAAGTTAACTGCCAAATGTAGTGATTTTAGCTGGCTTCTGCAGACTCTCCATTAAATAAGTAACAGAGAGGTAGCCGTGTTAGTCTGATCTTGGTAAAACAAAACAAGCAGTCATGTAGCACTTTAAAGACTAACAAAAGATGGTTTATTAGGTGATAAGCTTTTGTGGGGCAGATCCACTTACGATCTGAAGAAGTGGATCTGCCCCACGGAAGCTCATCACCTAATAAACCATCTTGTTAGTCTTTAAAGTGCTTTTTTGTTTTACCATTAAGCAAGTTAACACCTTTAGCATCTCCTTTTAGGAAAAGAACGTGGCTGTCAAATCTTTGAGTCACTGTGAGCTAAATTGCCATCTCCTACCTATCAGCTCAGGGAAGCAATTTTTATGATCATAAGGCTCAGGGATAACAAAATAGTGACCTGCTCAAAGCGTGAAGGTACTTTATTTACTTTGAAGAGGTATAATGATTTTTTACAGTATGCTTTGATTAATATTTTGGTGTGGTATCCAGTGGTTTTAAAAAAAAAACGGTGCTGATACTCCAGGGGAAAAGTTGTTGAGCCAAAAAAAAAAAAAACACCTCGGGTGGGACATTTGCGTACAGAGGTGCCGGTACACTTCGTTCTTTCCAGGTAAACTCTGACTGAAGGTGTCGGTATTGCGTACCAGGAAGTACTATCATAAAAAAAGCACTGGTGGTATCTATTTTTAAAGTGAAAAGATGTGTTATGAAATCATTAAGCATAATACAGCTGGTAATTAGGAAGTGCAAGATGAAAGATTATCCATGTAGTGTAACTTGGTCATATGGTATGTCTTGATTTATATATAAATTATTATGAAGGATAAAAATGTATATGTGTGAAATTAGTGTTAATGATGCAGCACTGGGAACTTTAACTTTTGTATCTCCTGTCCTTTTTAAAAACCTGTGCCAAGTTTTCATAATGTAGTTGACAGTTTATTTTCTAGAGTGTTAATCCCCTCCAAGGGAGGTAAGTAGTGGTAATGAAAGACAAATGTTCACTGCAAAACCTGCTTCCTTTCTTAGCAAAGTTTTTATGAACCAATTTAAGTAGCACCAGCCAGCAACCTTTAATTAGGATTAAAAATGTGCATGCTGAACAAATGCTTCTGCAGGGTATGGAAGTTAAAACACCCAACCACCCAGTAAAATATTTTTATGTGACCATACAATTTTCAAACATTTGTAACTTCATGACTTCTGATCAACACTTTGCAAAGTTTGGTCTGGATGGTCCCCACACCTGTAATGGGTTCTGTCACAACCAGCCCTCTAAACTGAGGGGCCTTTATGCTGTTCAGCTGTGGATCATACCCTTCACACTAGTTACTTGCAGCAACTCTTCCATTCCTGAGTGTCTCCAAGTATGTGCTCCTTGAGTTTTTAACTACCCTCCACTCTGACTTTTGTCCTCTGGTTTGTCACCTCCAAAGATATGAACCCACCTATTCTTCCCAGTTGTCAACACAATCATGCTCCACACAGTTTGCAGCACAGACTTTGGTGTAAAAAATAAAAATTACTTGACAGAAAAATCAACTTCAAAGCTGAAATAGCCAGGGAAACAAGAGGTTACACAGAAACTAAACAGAGGCAACGTTACAGTTTACATTAGCAAATTAATACACCCTTAATACAAGTTAACTATTGCCTCTAAACATTTTTCAAGCATACCACCTGCCCCAGAAAAGACCCAGGCTTTTGACTGTTCATCAGGTCATACCACTCCCATCCCACTTCTCTCCTCTCAAGCTATGGTGACTCATGGTTCTGCAGCATAAGAAAATTCTAGCAGGGGTGGCTCAATGTCTTCCCATTCATTGTAACAGTTTTGTTGTACAATAGTAAGAACTTATAGTCAGTCTCAAGTGGGTGGCGAAGCAGCCCCTGCTTGCATGATTTACCCAGTACCCCAGTCTGGGCCGGAGGGAGGAGGGGGGGAGGGCACACGTTATGAACAGTTTTATAGACCTGCAAATGCATAACCATGGTTTGTATAGATAGCACACGATGCTACAGTTCAGAACATGTTGTGCTTGCATATAAAGCCCTACTTGGTATACTATTTTAGTACAATAGCATGGTATGTAATCAGTTGCTTCAACTACTTATTCTTTGAAGCTTGACCCTCCTCCGTGTCTCATTCTCTGCTTAAGGTATTTGGGGCACTAGTTGTCACAGAAGCGTTTGGTCTATGAGGCATCATCAGTGCAGCTTACCATTGCCTTCTGATTTCTAGTAGGTAAATGGGAACTGTGTACTCTCTCATATAGACATGGGCTGCATCTAGATTGGCATGATTTTCCGGAAATATTTTTAATGGAGAAGTTTTCCGTTGAAAGCATTTTCGGAACAGAGCGTCTAGATTGGCACGGACGTTTTTCCGCAAAAGCACTTTTTGCGGAAAAGCGTCTGTGCCAATCTAGATGCGCTTTTGTGCAAAAAAGCCCCGATTGCCATTTTCGCGATCGTGGCTTTTTTGCGGAAAACAAATCAGAGCTGAGCTGTCTACACTGGCCCTTTTGCACAAAAGGGACTTTTGCCTGAACGGGAGCAGAATACTATTTCTGCAAGAAGCACTGATTTCTTACAGTAGGAAGTCAGTGCTTTTTGTGGAAATTCAAGCGGCCAGTGTAGACAGCTGGCAAGTTTTTCCGGAAAAGCGGCTGATTTGCTGGAAAAACTGGCCAGTCTAGACACAGCCATGTAGATTGGTGATGCTGGAAACTAGCTTCACACAGGCTCCCTACGTGACTTGGTAAGTAGTCGACACCTGAACTAGGGGCCTATGCACCACCAACAATGCAAGGGGCAAACTGGCTGCTTAACAGGGATCCACGGAATCCAGCATGCCCTCAGTAAGCTGTCTAAGCTAGCTAGTAGTGAAAAGGACTGGTGTTAGGCCAAGATCCCCAAATCAGGTGCCATGTGACCAGGAATTGTCATGGATGGTATGGAGGGAAGCATTCATCGTGGCTCAGGATTCTCAGCTGTGAACCCTCTAGGTGCGTAAGACAGACCACCTACTGAGAAAAATCACCCCCCCCCATCTTAAAACCCAATCTCATTACTGCCAAGGGCCTAGTGGGAAGAACACTCACCAAGGATGAGGGAGATCCGTTTTCAAATTGCAGCTCTGGAGTAGGAACTAGTTCCCAGGTTGTCACCTTTCTTCATGGTTCCTTGACCCTGTCCACCAAACTGCTACAATCACTCCTGTGGGACCTTGTCCACATTGCATAAATAAACTATTACTTTCTGTAATTGGTCTTTGAAATGTGTAGGTCCATGCTACTAGATACCCCAATTCCAAATGTTTGCCTTAACACCCATAGGGGGTAACACCAGTGCCTTATGACCCTTGAATACCAAACAGTGTATAAAGAGCAGTACACACACACACACACACACACACACACACACTCTCTCTCTCTCTCTCTCTCTAGTTCCTTTCTACTGGAATCTTAGCTGACCCATTCCACTGTGTTGGGACTGGGGTGTGTAAGGACAGGTCTGTGGGGTGTGTAATGGATATATGCAATACATCTTGAAAAACAGTTATGAAAAGCATAGAACTGGAAGGAACCTCAAGAGGTCATTAAGGCCATCCCCTGCACTCATGGAAGGATCAAGCACCAGGTAGGTGTTCATCTAACCAGCTCTTAAAAATCTCCAATGATGGAGATTCCACAACCTCCGTAGGCAATTTATTTCCATGCTCAACCACCCTGACAAAGTTTTTCATGCTGTCCAACCTAAACCTCCCTTGCTACAATTTTTTTCTTTTGCAAGTGTCACATTGTTGACTCATATTTAGTTTGTGGTCCACTATGACTCCCCCAGATTCCTTTCTGCAGTACTCCTCCTTAAACAGTCATGTTTTTGCCTGCTTGCATGTGTCTGTTAACCTTAGGTGATGCCCAAGCTATTTTTTATGGATGTGGGATTAGGAGTTGCATTTAAACTAGGCATGCAGGACTGCTTGCTCACATTAATATCTTATTGTCATGTGGTAACAAGAGGGTAAAGGTTAGCAAATGTGATAAATGAAGGCCACCTTGCTGGTCTGCAGTTGGCCACCATAGCAACACTTCCCTCATATGCTGTTGACTTGAGGAAGCTGAAACCTTTCTTAGGGTTTGAAGTCTAAACATGTTCCGAGCGCTTATACTTCTTTGCGACTGAGGGGAATCACCTCCAGCCTGTGCCTGCCAGTAAAGCCTGTGCAATCTCCTGGAAAGAGCAGCAGATAAACAACCTCAAGCCACCTGAACCAGTGTCTCCGGTGGGCAGAGAGCAGCCAAGTATGCGGATGTAGCTAATGCTATTCTCTTTGTGTAAGTCCCAACAAATCAGACAGCTGCTCCAATAGGTGCTGGAATTAGGAATGCTGGGGGCATGACAGCACTCCCTGGCTTGAAGTTTCATCACATGCAGTGTAGGTTTGTTCAGTGGCTTTCAGCAGCTCCCCCCTATTAAAAACTATCCATGCACCAACTGCCTGTCCCTGTATGTTGATCAATACGAGAGGGAGGCTCAGTCATGGATATAGGCCAATAACATCCAATGGGCTTGAAGCCAGTGGACTTTGGCAAAAGCTCCCCTGGTAGTGGGCAGAGTCCCAAGCCTATTATTGACAATGTTAAAAGAAAGGACTCCCATGGGACCAAAACCAGTACCACTAATTACAAACTAGGCTAATAACTTGCTATAAAGACACATAGGAGCAATAAGATGAAGCACAGTATGCTCTGACCACTGATGGTAAGAAGAATTGAAAGGTGTGTAGGTTGGCTCTGCCCTTTCCTTAATTTGAGGCACAAGAGCAGAAAGGGTGCAGGCATGGTCACCTCTACAGGTACTGCCAGGGAAAACTCTCCAGCACTGTTGCACTAGGCATACACATGCTTAAGAGTAATGGGCATATGCGGTCACTCAAAAACATTAAATATGCACTGGTGCAGGAAGTCAAACTTGGGTTGTCCACATGAGGGTCCTAACCACTGGCTCAAGCACCCTTGTGCAATTAGTTTACTGTTTATATAAAGTGGAAGTTTCAACAGGAGATCTTGAGACCAACCCTGGAATACCCCGTAACCTGATGGTTCGGGCACGCTCCTGGGACTTGGGAGATCTGTGTTTTGAGTCCTCACTCCAAACTAGGTAGAGCAGGGATCTATATCTGGGTCCACTTCCTAGCTGAATGCCCTAACAACAGATCTATTAGTTATTCTGGGAGTGAATATACCTGTAAGTGGGTAGTTGGAACAACAGCATGACCAGATTGAAGGATTGATGCTAAACTATATAATTTATGTAAACCACCAACACAGCAAACAAAGCTATGTCTTCCTATATGTAGGTTGTGTTCTTGCCACGTGAAGTAGGTGATAGAGAACCCAGGTGGTGCATCTATGATTCTGGCATTCCCTAAAGCACAAAGACTTGGTAAGACTAGCAAAAAGAATTAGGCACAGTTATCCCTTTCCTTCTGTAGATGTACAGCTAACACTTTCCCTTCACAGCAGACTACATGGAAAGGCTCCATTAGCTTCACTGGAGTTGCAGAAATGCATCTATATGTGACTTTTGATCTAAATATTCTTTCTGGAGATTATGCACAAGGAAGAAGGAACACGGCTTGACTCTTCAGTTGTTGGGGAGAGTTTCAAGGATAACAGCTAGAAAAAAAATCCTATTTGAAAATTTGATCTGAAAGGCAATTAAGTATGAATATGGAATACAAATCCAATGTATACAATCCACCTTCCACACCAGAACCGCCCTTTTCCCCAGCCATGTGGTTCTACTATCTCTGAAAGAGGCCCCCCCAATGAGACTGGGGCATTATCAGCTCAAAGACAGGCACTGCATCTATCATACCACTTATGTGGGTCTTGGATTTCTCCTCGCTGGAGCTTAACTTTTGAGATTCAATGTGATCTTTGCTCAATGCCTTAATACTGGAAAATTCATAGAAACATGCACCCCATAGGCAATTTTAAGCTCATATGATCACAAACCATAACCACTTAGAAACATCCATACAAATAAACTACTTCAACTTTAATTACATCCTTTTAATTACAAGAGCTTTGGTAATCGTACATATATAATTTTGGCATTATTTACAAAAGTCAAGGTTGTATACATGTATCAAATAGAACTTCCAAGTTTATATTTTTATCCTTGACATTATAGAAGTCATCACACTGCTGTTCTCAGAGTCTGGTGGAGATAGCAGTTCAGAGTATTCCAACATATTTTCAGTCTAGTACATTTCTCTCCCAGATGTTGAAGAACAGGACCTGAGCCATTCCTAGGAGACAATGTATAGAACTTTGTCCTTCTTTCATATCAGTCACCACAGGTGCTACTTGTGGTATGTTAACACTGGCAGCAGCACAGAAATTAAAGTACAAAAAAAGACATTTCTCCTATTTATCTATTTTCCTACTAGAGTGTGTTTAAGGAGTTTATAAGCCTTGTTTTAGAAAGACTTTTGTAATCATATATAATACATAAAAAATAACTGAAACAGCTTATAGACAATGGTGGCACAGTCAGGATGGCAATCTGCCACTGATATGCATAGAAAGGCAGCAACTTGGATGCTAGCATTACTTTCATTCATTTGCCATTCTTTCTTCTGGATGATACATGTCAACCAAAAGCAAAATCATGAATAAGATGGCTCACTGAGACAGGGAAAGTAGTCTTCAGTCTTGAAAAGGGGTGGAGGCTCATACAGGGTCTGGTGTTGCCTTGAGGAAGATGATTTCTGTGATTAAGAAACATTTTATTTGATTTTTGCCTTTGCTTTACCACTTTTTTAGTTCAGTTATGTAATGAGCTATATTTGCACAAAACATTAACCTCAAGCCTTTTGTCTCTTCGTAACTGACAAGAATTTCTTTGTACAAGCTGCACAGTTCTTACAAAAATTGCCTTTTCTTTACATTGTTTCTATAGTCTGTGTCTGGACGAGGAGAGACAGACACACACAGATTGTTTTTTGTTAATGAAGTTACTATAATAAAATGAAATGAGATATTTGGTTATTTTATATCCCAAAAATATTGCCTCTCTCTAACTTCTTGATCAACTATGTGAAACTTTATTATCAAAAGCTTCAGAGGGATAACCAAGTTAGTCTGTAAGTAGAAAAATTTAAAGAACAACAAATAGCCTAGCAGCACCTTAAAGACTAACAAAACATGTAGCTGGTATCATGAGCTTTCGTGAGTACAACCCACTTCTTCAGATGACAAAGTACATAATTAAAGAAAAGAAGAAATAACCTGACATTAATAGACTAGAACAGTGTTTCTGAAAGCGTTCAGCAAAATCACTTTCAGAAACACATTAACTGGCAGCCCCAGTTCATTTATTTACTGGTGCCGCAGCCATGGAGCCTCACAGCTCCATTTTGTCCTTTGCAGCCAGAGGGAGTCATGAGAAGCGGTGGCCTGGCTCACCTTGGCTACAAAGGATGAAACCGAGCCAATGGGAGCCGCGAGTAAATAAACAAACTGGGGCGGCCAGTTAATGTGTTTGAAAATGATTTCGCTGAATGCTTTCAGAAACACTGGACTAGAGCAACACTGCAACTTAAAAGTAGTCTATTAAATATTTTTTAAAAATATGAACTGTAATGAAATGATGTAACAAATGTTATATGTATGTAGGATGGTGAGGAGACATTACTGTTAACTGACATTTTTTACTTCCTTTAGGGCAGAAATCATATGACAGATGGAGACCCACCTCAGAATCAAGCTAATTCATACATAGGTACAGAATATGATTTTTATTTTTGTATATAATTATGATGAAAATGCCAATGTTTACTTTGAAGAATGTTAAAAATATCTATTTATATTCACACTTGTGTGAAATTATGGAGTTTAAGAATTTATTTTCATTTTTACAAATTTTCAGTTGCAAAAGGGGATAACAGATGTAATGACAGGAAACACTGAGATTCAAAGAGTTAAAGCTTTTAACCATTAAAACTCAAGTTGTCAACACCACATATCAAAACATACAAAGTAAGTATTCTTAATTCAAACTAAGTTCTCATGCAATATTTTTCATACTTTGCCTAAATTTAGATGGTCATTAGGGATGTCAAGAAGTGGTTATTTAGGTAACTGTGTAATCACTGAAAATCTCAGAATTTACATGCTATGCTGCAGGCTCTGCAATAGAAAGCTTATACTGCAGAGCCCATAGTGCATCTGGCTCCCCAGAACCAGAACCAGAGCCAGCTGGCCCCATTCCCAAGGAGCTAGCTGCAGGCTCTGCAGTATAAACTTTATACTGCAGAGGCAGCCACAGTGCAGGGTGGCAGATGGCTCCTTAGGAGTGGGGGCGAGAGCCTGCGTATAACTGTTAACAATAACCAATAAACCCAAGCTTATCAGTTATTCTATTACATCCCTAATGGCCGTAGATTTAAATCTTTTTTCAGTGTGTGTATACACTGAAACCAATGTTTACTGACATTTACTGATATAAATCAAAGCCTTCCAAGCCTACTCATGTGGCTTCATGATTTATAATTCCCAAAGGTTAGATTAAATTGCTGATTTTTTTTTAAAAGAACATACAATATAAAAAAAAAAAAATCTAATGACTTTTCAGTTTGCACACTCATGCACAGATATGGATCTGTTAAATAATGACACTGTTAAAAATAAAAAAAGCCAGTAATGTACATAAATACGAATTTTTAAATACTAACTTTTTAAAAAACATTTTTAAATGAATCATAGGAAATTGTTTTTGCTAAAGAAAGTCAAAAGGCAAAACTGATGATGCTCTCTGTATACTCAAACTTTCCTAAAATATAGAAAAATATTTTATTTCTGCATGTTTTGGTAACTTGTAAAAGTCTGTTTTGTCTTTTTAAAAAGCTGGGCTGGGCAACCTAAATAATTTCGTCTTAAGTAACTGAAATAAATCCATCAACTCAGTATTTCCTTAAACTTATCCAAACTATTGATATCGCAATGCAAACATCTGACAAGAATATTGACAAAGTGCCATTTAATAATTTACTTTAGTATACCCTTTGTAATCATTAGGGTCTAAAATTTAAATTAGTTTACCCTTTGCTTTCACAGGCTCCTCACTTTTGTAGTAATGAAACTGACCGCAGCAAGGAAGAAAGTGAACTTCATTTGGGAAGTATGAGGACAATCCTTTGACACTTCGGTTATAGGAAAATTTAATAAAACTGTAAACAAACTTGCTTATCAGCAATTCACAACATAAATGTGACAAATGGCAATTTGCTATATGGCTTGCATCCCTAAAAGAAAGTCTTTGCTAAATTTAGAAAAAACAAACGGATACCATCAATTTAAAAAAATCACTTCTGTCTGAAAATTTTTATCTAGCATTGTAAAAACATGTAAGATAACTGAAAAATTCTAGGAGTCTTTTTCTACTGTGTGCAGTTTCTACTATGTTGCATCAGTTTTTCCATACTGCAAAGTGGAAGAGAAAATATTTTTAAAACACAATTAAGGCGACAAAAGTTGTCCAAAGAACACACGAGCAGGCAAAGTATCAAACTGCTTTTTACACTGAGTGTCCTGATAAGTGAATAAGTATAGTCACTTAAGTCTGCTCAGTGCGCAATTCAAATTTTAGCAGTATAAAAAAGCCTGCCCCCTCAGTAACATTTGGAGGTGAGGGAAACTTACATTCTCACAACCTGGGTATGACCAGTGTCCCAACAGGAGCAGAAGTTCTGAGAGTCTTAAAACGAGATTGAATACTAGGGATGTCAGCCTGTCGATGAACACACAATTAACCAATAATTGTATACAGAGGCAGTAGTGTGGGTTGGCAGCAGCCCCTGTCTTTGAGGGGGGGAGGGGGTCTGGGAGCACACTGGTTGCCAGAACTGCCCCCAGGGTCTATCGAATAGTCATGTAACTTCTAAGATTTCATCCAGTTACACAACATCTAATATTGCCACTGAATACATCATTTAACAACCAAAACTTCCTTCATATGAGGGATTTGGTAAAAAAACAAACAAATAAATAAAGCCTGGAAAATGAAAATAATTGCAGCCAAAGAAGTTCAGTCAAAAATGAAAGATTTTCAGAAAGTTGACAGCAGGTGAAAAAAAGCTATGATGCAAGTCTTAGGATAATTAATGTTTGCTATAGCCTATGAATTATTGTTTATTGCTGCAATCCTGCAAACATGTAAGTAGTTGCTTAAATTTATGCATGTGAATAGTCTGTTGAAGAACCCATGCATGAAAGAAACTATGTTCAGAAAAGGGCTCGGTAAAAATGGCATCTTCGTTCTTAAAAGATTTGGTCTAAACGCATCTCTATATTTGGCCTGCACTTCTACAGTGGAGAGATTTGGATTCTAGTTCAGTTTGTACATCAACAAAAATTAATTAATTTTCAACTACAGAGTTTATTACTAGAGTAATAAATGTTCAGCTAATGCATAAAGTTCAATCTAGAACACAACCTGACTTTCAGATCCTACTGTTCGAATAAAATTATATAATAATCTCTTTAACCAATAAACTGTGAAAAATTGATAGCCACAGATAGTCTAGCACTCCAGTGCCTTTTTTACACAGTAGAGCAGCCTTGTCATAGCTATGAATAAAAAATTGTAACCGTAATATTATATAAAAGCTATTTTTATTGTAACAAGCAAACAATGGAATCCTTGTCCATACCTGGCGGTTCTAGGTGCTACTACAATACAAAAAGAAAAATTGCTAAATGGCTTAGAAAAATAAGCCCTGTCCTGAAATATTTTTTCTTTTCAAAACTGCAAAATACATTATCACTTCCATTTTATAAACAACGCAAATGAGGCACTGGGAGGTTAAATACATAACTTGCCCAAGGCTGCACAGTTAGTGTCATAGAAGGGAACAGGTTTTCTGACCTCAACCCTCAGCCATGTGTGAGACACAATAGTTTTCTATTGTGTAGCTTTCTAGCCATGCATAGTCCTTCACCTCCCTCCCAGTGAAGTAGTTTTTCTAATATGCAACTTAGACGTCCCCCACTGAAACCTGAGACCATTGCTTTCTGTTCTGTCAATAGCAATCAAGAATGGGCCATGTAACACTGTAGGCACTCTTCTCATGCCACACTCTCCATAAACTCATCAAGCTCAGTCTTGAAACTAATTGGTGTTTTTGCTCCCATTATTCTCTTTGGAAGACCATTCCAGAACTTCACTGTAGCCTCATTCAAAGTTACCAGACACATACTTCATTCAAAGCCTCATTCAAACCTTGACAGACACATACTTACGTTAAGAAAAGGTGGTACACTGATAGTATGTAAAAATTTTTTAAAGGTGTTTGGAAAAGTTCCAAGGTCTGTTTCTGCTTTTGTGACCTGCTCCTCCAGTACAGCCACATTATTTCCAACCATTTTTACAAAGGCCTAGTTGGAAACAAAACCAAACCTTTATTCATCATTTTGTAAGAGCATTTCCCAACAAGATGTCTGAAGAGGTTCAGATTAGGTGGAAACTAAAATATAATTGCAGGTAACAACCCCAAAAGAGCATAAAATAGTATTTTTGTGTCATCTCCATTGTTAAATTTGTGCCACAAATGACCCACTTGTGCAACCTTCTACATGTGGAACCTGATAATTTGGAAGTTGGGTAGAATAAGACGGACCAGTTTTTTTTAAAAGAGACTATAAAAGTACTTGCATTCAGCAGGCTGATTTAATGCAGTGAGACAAGTGTACAGCTTTATTTAACTGAAAGTGGTAAAACGCTTGTTTACGTAAAACAAAACTTTCTCTTGGGAAGTAGCAATACACAAACTGTTATCGTACTTTAATTGTTTTGCATAGCACTTGCTCTGAAATTGCTTCTATGCCAACAAGTTTCTGTGGCGCTCAGATGTGGACAAGAAAGTTTAGGCTTTCACATATTTAGTGACAGATTTTAAACACGTCTATTTTTAAAGAGCTATGCTCATTATAATTTAACAAACAAAAATTCTATTAAAATAAAATTCAATTTTTAAAAATAAGTGATTATTAGCCATCCTTGTAAAAAGTGCATGTCTGGTTAACTTCCCATACACATCCTATCAGTTTAATTCTGCTAACACTAGTCTGGTCCATTTTGCCTCTCAATCACCATGCTGTGGCATTCACTTGTAAGGATGTAAAGAATTAACTAATTAACCAGTTAACCACTTCCTAAAGGTGATTCTTACCAGGTAACCAGATAACTGACAGCCGGGCCAGGCTGGAACAGTCACCTGTGGAATCATGGTTAACCGTAATATTTAAATGGTTAACTTTTTTTAAAAGGAATTTTACATCCCTCTTCATTTGTACGGGGCATGGGCTTGTTTTACAAAGCAAAGTTTGCAGGTTTAAAAGCAGAAGAGAGGGCAAAAATCTTTGCTGTCAATTTGACACATATGGACAAACAGATTGAGAGATTCATTGTTGTCCCACTGCTGAACACCCACTAGGAAATTAGTAATTGTGTATGGTTTCAGGGCAACAAGTGCACCAAACTGTGGCTGAAGCATTCTGTTTCCTCATGTTATTCCCATGTTGGATTTTAGATCAATATGCTAACAGTGAATCAAGTCAAAGACATTCTGAAACAAACGCATATATAACCCACTAACTCCCCATTCATTTTAGAATTGTCTTTCCAGGTTTTAACACAAATCCAATGACTTCTTTCTGCTGTCTTCACAATCCTAGCCTCTCTTCCTCTGCACTGATCACTCAATGAACTCCTGTCCTTCCACAATGATGGCATAAGAGTCTTCTAATCCACAGCTCCCAGTAGCTGAAACTGTTCCTGTATCACTATTTCAAATCTTAATAGTTAATATTCTTCATCGCCTAAGTGGGGTAACATTTTCAAAAGCACCTTAAGTGATTCCATACCGTTGATTGTCACTGAATTTTAGGCACCTAAGTGCCTAAATCACTTTAGAAAATAGGATTTTAACCTATGTTATGTAGGTGCTTTTGCAAATGTTAGCCTGGAACTCAATTTTCATTGTATTCCACTGTTTAACTCTGAATTGTTCCATGAGAAACTCAGTATGAAAGATACTATCAAAAATTATAAGTGGTATTATTGAGTTGAAAAATCTGCCTTGCTCCAAATAGTGAGCATGAACATAAATGAAGATACTCAGTTCAAGAAACCTGGCAGTTTCAGGAAATCACACACACCAAAAAAATCTATTAATTCCCCACATTAAACCTGTATTAAGATGTGGATGTTAATTACCTTTAATAGTTAGTCAACAACATTTCTCATTCTCTCAGATAAAAACTAAGTAAGTTATAATACTGTACAAAATACATGTACAATTCTCACATGTACCATATTGGAACACTACTGTGATAAAACATACAGATGACTAGTGCACTGATTTAAAGAAATGAATTTTTTTGTTCGGTTTATATCAACGCTGGCTTCACACCAGTGTTGACACACACACACACACACACACACTTAAATTCAAACAAATTTTGAATTTAAGTATGTGCTTCCTATAGAATTCCAGCATCTAATCAACAGGAACAGTTAAGCATTAGTGACTGGCACATTCAGCCAATTAATAATGTAATGCTCAGCTCCCACATTACTAGTTGATACCTTGTGTGGAAAACACTGGTTTACAGGTGTAAACAAAAAGGCAAAAAAATAACAGGCTTGCTAAATTCAGCATGAGAAACTTTTTGAAGCATATAAAAAGTCTGCAACTCTGACTCAAAATATGCAGTTTGCAACATCCCCTTGAGAAAAGGAATATAAATAAATGACATCAACATACATACCTCTAATTTGTCAATCTTTCTATATATCTGTCTCATTTCTGTAGCTTTTGTATGAACTTGAGGTACACTTTCATTGACTACTTGAGAAGTCTCGCTTCGAATCTAAAAACAATCCAAACAAATTACATAAAATTAAGTGTATACTATAATGAATATGTCTGCACAATAACTTTGATATATTCTAATACTGAAGTTAGTGACATCTAGTTAAAGCCACTGAATCTTGACGGTTGTAAACAAATCAATACAGGTATTGTCTGTGTTAACACATGCAAGCATTTGTTGGTCTCATAAGTATTTCCAAATAGCACAGGTCTCTGCCAATGATGAAAAATAGAAGCCAAAGTGCAATAAAGTTGTGCACTTTCAACACTTTTCATTCAAAAATGACAAAACACTTTAGAAAGTGTTTAAAGTGTTAACATTAAACCTATTTGATAGATCAAAAAATGGGGATGCTGAAAAGTTAACACACCACCATAGTGTGTCTGATTTTGAATCTCAAGAGCATGAGGCCTGAAAAGTTAACACACCACCATAGTGTCTCTGTGATTTTGAATCTCAAGAGCATGAGATTCAAGTGCAATTTTTATCGTAGTTACACTGAACAACACATTTCAAGCTTTTCCTAAGGAATGAGATTCAAGTGCAATTTTTATCGTAGTTACACTGAACACATTTCAAGCTTTTCCTAAGGTATCCATGACTGTAATATGATTCCTGCCATTCAGATAGAGGACAACCTATTTTATTAATATGACGTGCTATTTCTGCTAGGAAGCTTTTTATCTTTTCGGTCTCTCCTCTGACTTGCTCCTTTTTCTTTCCCTTAAGCTCAACAACCAAACAGTTTTCTCAAACAACTGAATATGCCAACCTGCAGCAACATCTTATTGAAGTTAGCTTTTCTTGGAGAAGTATAGAGACACAAAAAATATGTGAGGTGTGCAGTTTTGCTCTGTCAATGATATTACAAGAGCAATACCAAAATGTAGAAAACACCTTCCTCACAGTGGGCATATGAAGCTACATCACTTGTAAGGTACTTTTTAATCAGAAGAAGGTGCTATAGGATCTGATGGGTCTCTTCTGTGGTGCAATACCAAGGGTAGTTAGGGGACATCTTTAAATATTATTTCTGTCCAAGACAAGCGAGCTGCTTTTACTCACTGTCTCTGGCTCTCTTTTTTAGGCATTTGGTTCCAAGTAAAGGATGTAATTCTGAAGTTGTCTTATACCAGAGGTTTACACCTTGAGAGATTCATGTCCCATGTGAACCTCCTTCAACACAGGGAAAGCGTGTGTTGAGTTTGCAGCTGGAATCCCCATATCCAGGGAGGAGGCTCACATACTGTGTGAGAGAAACAAAATACAGGACTATGTAGCACTTTAAAGATTAACAAGATGGTTTATTAGATGATGAGCTTTCGTGGGCCAGACCCACTTCCTCAGATCAAATAGTGGAAGAAAATAGTCACAGCTATATACCAAAGGATACAATTAAAAAAATGAACACATATGAAAAGGACAAATCACATTTCAGAACAGAAGAGGGGTGCGGGGGGGAGGGGGAAGGAAGGTGAATGCCTGTGAGTTAATGATATCAGAGGTGGGGAAGATTAGATGTCTGTGAGTTAATAGTATTAGAGGTGATAATTGGGGAAGCTATCTTTGTAATGGGTAAGATAGCTGGGGTCTTTGTTCAGCCCCCTGCGGAGAGTGTCGAATTTTAGCATGAATGCCAGTTCAGAGGATTCCCTTTCAAGTGCAGATTTGAATGTCTTCTGAAGTAGGATGCAGGTGAGTAGGTCATTGAGACAGTGTCCTTTCTGGTTGAAATGGCAAGCAACTGTTTTTTCTTTGTGATCCTGTCTAATATCTGTTTTGTGGGCAGTGATCCTTTGGCAAAGTGTCTGAGACGTTTGTCCAATGTACATAGCAGACGGACACTTACGGCACATGATAGCATAGATTATATTTCTGGAGGCGCAGGAATA